CTACCCAACCATTCACTTTCTAACTTTATTGTTTTTGGTTTGTCTTTGATTAGCGGCAATAATGATTGTCGCAAAACCAAAGAAATGCGGCTCATTCACCAATTGGGCACTTATAATCCCCATGGGTTGAATGAACGCTTTGTTTTCAGATAGGTTGTTTATCTTTTGTTCCCTTTTTAGCACCTTTATTGTTGTTTTGTCTTACACTTCCTTTGCTTTTTTGTTTATTTCACGTTACCATGCCTACTTTGCTCCTATTGGTCTATTTTCCTTCCTATACTCCTACCATATAAACTCACCCTTTACCTATTTTCATCACTTTTACTCCGACGAAGGATTAACAACCGAAACGTCAGTAAGTTATTCCACATACTTTTTTACRKTGTWAAATYTAYCTTTTTACATAACTGTTTCTKTAGAAACACCGACGCAGCTCACACTAGTTTACCGCTAGTTCCCACCATTTTACGTGTATAATTGATACACAGCGTAATGAGTGAAAAGAGAGACTTTTTTGACTTTCTTTATGATCTTCTTTACGATCTTCTTTGTGAACCTCTTCATAGTTTATAGTTTATCTGTATAGGATAATGGACGATCTGGACGAGCTCTGAGCTTCAATAAAGCGAAGAGCGAGTCCATTATCCATTTTAATGCACACTTTCATTGTTTTCGAAGAAAAAAAAGTCATTAACTTTTCAGTGTTTTGCAAAAGAAAAAATTTATTAACAAGCTCGAAATGTGATATGAAAAATGTTCTATAATAACTGAACAAAAGACAACAAGCTTTGTTTTAAAATACGCCTACAACCTTTATYTTGTTGATTGGCTTTTTAGTCATTAACAAATGAGCATGTAGGTATAGTTCTGCACTTAGTATGAAAGTTTTAACAGGGCTCGAAATAATGACCAAACATACGCAGGACAGCATGACCTYCATAATACATTTTTAGAAGGTCATAACCAATTTTTGGAAGGACAAAAGCTTTGAATACTTAATGTTTAGTGAATCTACAATTTTTTCTGTCTAATTATGGCCAGTCAATTTGTCCTTTCAAAACCTGATTTGACCGGTCATTTAGCAAATTTGGAAGGACATTGTCCTTTGACCTGCTGTTATTTCGAGCCCTGTTTTAATGAACTGCAAGCGCAAAATTACTTACTGGAATTTCACTAAATGGGATATTGTCCCTTTGAATAGAAATAAAAACTTTTAAGTTTTTGCATATTCACGTTCCATAGTCGCACGGGACTATAAAATCAAGCTTGGCGTGTTACCAAATGTGTATTTCGTTTGARCTTGCGACGGAGATGGAGACGTATGATGACGACAATGCAATACTTTCTCAATTGCTGGATGCTTTGGAAAACTAAAATCCATCTGTTTTAAGTCCAGGTAATTTAAAAATGTTCTTAGATTATTTTGCATCTTGTATTATCGAGTTCATCATGAGGTACGTCTTGTACGTAATTTCAGGGTTTTTTGTACTTATCTTTATTCATTTGCTTGTTAGTGATTGAAGAGAAGTGTAGTCATGAAACACGTTTCAAGAAAATGGACGAGAAAGATTTGTTGGAATTAGCATCAGAGTCCATTCCAACCAATACCAAGAGAAAAGCAATGTGGGCTTTCCGTTTATACGAGTCATGGCAGAATTGGCGAAAGAGCAACTTTGCAGATGAGCAGGATGAGAAGTCAAAGGTTTCAAAGATATTGGAGAAAACCACAGAATTATTAGATATATCAAGAGATGAAGACCTATGTGAAGTTCTTTCTCA